GGCAGGCCGGGTAGTTTGTTTTAGATGTTGGTTGGTATACACCAAAATACCGAAGTATTAAATAACAATAATAATTATAATATACAGTACCTCATTAACATATTTGAACGGTATAATACAATATGAACAAGTACCTAGGTATACTAATTATAATAATAGTAATATTAAAAAAAAACAACAATATAATGTAGGTAATAATGCTTTTGAAAACTCGCCCGAACGTGGTGTTTTGAAGTGGTTTTGTATACAAAAGTATTATAGCAATAGCTCATTCAGATTATACAGCTTATTAATAATCAATGGGAAGAATATCATGTAAAAAATATAGTAATGTTTATAGGCAATGTCTTCATCGGGGCCTATAGGTTATTTGGATTTCAATTATTCACAAACAAATTTACATTACCAATACTATACTTTGCAGGTATCAGTTATCGGAGTTTATTTATTATGGAAGCATGTCAGTATAGTTAAATAAAACGGGAAAAAATGAAAATACCATAATATATCAAACCACTTGTTATGAGGCAAGTGCATTGAGTATTATATTATGAGTCATTGTATCATTTATAAAACTTAAATACCTACTCATCCTGTATTCATAGGTTGACTAGGTGTACCTTTTACATTTCCAAATAACCTTTGATCACGGACAGCCCAAAGCAGATCCTCCCCGTCTGACCGTGATTTCTTTGAACAGGAAGGGCGATATAGGAACCCACGTTAAATTATTTCTCGGTTGCGCCGTGCCAGCGATCGCTGTTCTTTGTTCTCCTACCTTGCCGAAGTCTAACAACAATGTCCGACCCCTTGTTTTTTCCGGACGATCACGCCTCGCATATAATATATACACTAGTTCTACGACGCCAATCCCAACAACTTGCACCTGATCGTCATCTACAAAAGCAATGTACCGTATACCGACGGAAAAAGTATTATGGCAAGAGAGATATTATCGTTTCTTTTTAAACCGTAGGTATATTATTATTTTGTTCGTTTTTGGAGTTCAGAAAAGAAACCTCTCCTTCTCCCTATACACATATAAATATATAGCTTGAGTGTAATATTCATACCTAAACGAAGAAAGAGCACACCGGGTAGTTTTTTTCGATCTATACAAATGCCGGACAAAAAGTCCCCGATAAAAATGCATCCGTTCATCGAATCATAAAAAAACATTTTTATACATTTGTTAATTATTATTTTTATTCATAAACATAGGTATTATATTATTTATTATTTAAATGTTCTATCGGTACAGTTATATTTTATAAATTACTTAGATGAAAAAAAAAAAATTAAAAATTACATAACATTTAATCAGATTACAGCCATGCATGTTAGCAATCATGAAACCATGTACCTAGGTAGATAGTTATATAATACAGAGAAACATTAAAATACCATAATATATCTAACCACTTGTGATGAAGCGAGAATGATGAGTATAATATTATGATTAATCTATAAAACGTTAATAATCATAATGGGTTCGTAGTTTGATTAGATGCACCTTCTACATTTCCAAATAACATTCGATTACGGACGGAACAAAGCAGCCCCTCCCGGTTTCAATTTATTTTTCGGTGCCACGGCGGCAGTCGCTGTTCTTTGTTCTCCTTCCTTGCCGAAGTCTGGCAACGGTGTACGACCCTTTGTCGTTTCGGGACGGCACATCATGTATATATTATATATATAACATTTATATATATATGCGCATTCCACGACGCCACCCCAACCACATGCATCTGCTCGGCATCGACAAAAGCGAGATTCTCGTATACCGATGAAAAAAATATACCCAAAGAGAGATTTTATCGTTTCTATGTTACACCGTATACTATTATACCTATGTTGTTAGTTTTCGAAACTGCTCCTCTTCTCCTCTCTATACGTCATGTATAATATTATAAAGCAATAGGGAGATATTATTATTATACCTGTACGGCTCGTCGTTCTCGACGAGAAAAGAGTGCGCAGGGTATTTTTTCCATGTAGTTATACACCAAAATACCGAACTATTAAATAATAATAATACAGCACATTGGTGTCGTATTTTATTGGAAAGTTAATAATATGGTACGATTATTATACGGATGGACATTGGACACACTATACGATTGTACATTACAATACGAATATTGCAGTAAACCTTTCGATGGCATTATTGACAAGTTTTAAATGACATTTGACACCAAAACATTAATTTTATGATTTATCCGTGCAAGGATAAAAATTTTTTTCGTTAAGTGTACTTGGGATCGACCATACCAGATTTTTGTCTTTCATCACGGTTTAGGACAAAGCGACAGTAAAAACAAACACAAAATTAAGGAAAAATGGGAATTTTTCCGCAACACCAGTTTTTGAAAAAATCAATTTTGGGTCTTAGTGTGACTCGTAACTCTAAAAAAAATGATCATAATATATATATATACATGCAATTTTCATTGAATGTTTTTGTTAGCATATTCTATGCATCATAATTTTATATATAGGCATATACAATTTTCGATTATTATTTGTTTTTTTGAAACTAACGTCAATAACAAATTTTTGCTAGATCAAAAAACTTGAAAAGAAATACAAAGTTCCTCGTAAGTTCCTCGTTGTTAAGGGAAATTAAAAAATAAAGCTGAGGATAAATATACACAATATTCTTTTATGAGCGTTTAAATAAAGAATTTTGACAAAATTTGTAAAAATCACTATAATAGCATTCAAATTATTTTGAGTTAGAAATTCATAAAAAATTTTCTTTTAATATCTAAGATTTTAAAATTTAATACTTAATCCCGTATAAGTAGGGCTGAGAATTTAATGCACTAAAGATAACCTTAAAATAGTAAAAAAAAATGCAATAAAATGCAATATGAAATGCCAAAAATGATAGCATCAAATTCATTTAAAATGGTTTTTAATTTAATTTAATTATTTATAGTAATATTAGGTACAGGATATTATATATTAGTACATTACACGGATAAAAAAGTGTTTATTCAATAAAAAAAATAATAATAAAATTGTTGATTGAATTTGAATTGTCTACACTTAATGCTTTTGACCTGAAACATTTCTTAACAATTTTAGAAATAAATAACTTACAAATAACTTATGTAGTTATCTAGCAGTTGCTTTATTTTATCGACGTATACAAAAACAAATTTTTTTTCAAACATTTTTCCCGTTAACTGACGGAATTCTATTAAAAATTCCAAAAAATGAACTAAATAGGAAAATATGACCTAAAAATGTACCGAAAAGACCTAAACAATTAAAAATGTCAAAAAAATGCAAAATAAAAGTTACATAAATTTATTTGTAATTACATATTTCAAATTATGAACTTACCAAGCTACGTTTCTTTCCTACAAATTCACAGCCCTACTTATAAGTTGATCTATCTTTATCAAACAAAAAAATGTGTGATCGAAACTGTATATTATAATTTGATGAGCATTTGAAGTTGAAATTTTTACATGGGATATTCACTCGATTTCCCATTTAGCAAATTTCTTATTTTGTTGCAACTTAAAAACGAATAACTATATCAGTTAAAAAAATATTAAAAATACATAGGTAGTAGGTACAATTATGTTTTATAAGCAAAAAATCTAAAAAATATATAGTTTAAAAAAAAAGTTATCGTATGTTCAAATTTGGACGAAATTACATATAATATATCCAAGAATAATGATTTAGATAATTTTGAAGTAATTTAAAAAATATTTTTCGTAGGTAGATATCTACTTGAAACTTTTAGAGTATATTGTTATATTTATGGCATTCATGAATACCATAATATATACTTGGTTATATTGTAATTTTAGTGCAGATATGTTATATAATTTTATATCAATTTTATGGTTTTAACATTTTTAATGCACATACTATTTGATATTTTAGTGCATTTTAATTTAATACTGTGTATTGCATATATAGATTTTTAATTAGCATATCATACTAATATTTAATATGCATTAAATTACGTTTTGTGGCTTAGATATTATATAAAGTTTATCTTAACATTTTACCGTAGTGCACTAGAGTATATTACCAAACATTTTTAGTGCATTTAAGTATGAACTTTATTTATTAGTTTTTAGTATCCATCCGAAGCCGTACGTTTGCTCTTCTCGGATTTATTTTTCTCCGAGCAACGTCAGGTAATACCACTAATAAACGCAGCTAGTTGCACCTAAATCAATGATAATACTTAATCATTTTAAAATATAATATTATTATGTTGAGCGTTGGCTATTGTTGAATTAAAATTTTTTTTTAAATTTCAAATCGATACGTGTACATAGGTAATACGGTTATTATTTTGATATAAATTATCGATTTAAATTTTGAACATCATAAACAAACCTTTTATTATTGTTTTTATTATATCAAATATATGAGGACACATTTCAAATTTCATTCAAATGTTCAAGAGGAATATAGAATAATAATTTCGTCTTATGCCAATAAATTGTACCTATCGGCCTACCGACCGTATCCCAGTCACCGGTTAAAATTTCTGAAAAAATATTTGAGTTCGTCACAAAGTTTTCTCGGGAATTACTTTTCTACATTATTGAAATTTAACACCCGATCCTTTAAAATAAGATTTTTAAATTTTAAATATTAATAATTTGGTTTGAGGTTTGTTTATTAATGTCTATAATTTGGGCGATGTACTGATGTGGGGAGGCTATGTCAATAATATAACATTATAACGTGTCTTGCAAAGAATAGTATAAGGCATATTTCATATACTGTGGACTGTGGTTGTACGGTCACAATGGTGTAAGCTGTGCAGTGTGCAGTAAGATTGGCTGCACTGCATCGGGCGCGCGCGAATCCCGCGTCCCGCGTGCACCTCCACCGAATTGAGTGCGCTCTCCGCGAGCAGCACCACCGCGCTCTCCGCATTACCATACACCGCGCGCCATTCGTAATATTAGCTTATCGTTGAGCGCGGTTGGCAGTTCCTACATCCTTTGTCGTTCCGATGTTTCTGGTGGCTGCTCCGGACGCTCCGGTAGTCGTGTAATGGTCGTGTAACACTGTTAAATTGTTTGTAATTTTGTACGCGTCTGTTTCTGTTCGGTGCTAGCTTGTGCTTGTTCTTTCTCTCTCCGTCGTTCTCCTCTGTTCACGGGTTTCCAACTATTTCCGCGTCTGCTCAGTTCGCCCGTTCGCCGTTCGGCAGTTTTTTTTTCACGGTTTCACGGTACACGGCGTTTGTGATTAATATTATTAATTATTATAATATTCTTTTATCGGTTAATTATTTTTCTGTGATTTAATAAACACACGTTAAACGATTGCGCGAGTGGTGTTCTGAATTCCAAGCTCCTGTGCGTAGGCACCGGATCCAATCCACGTTCACGGCACAGGCCGAGCGGCGCAGCTACTACTCACTCTCCGGCGACTGGCGTTTTACAATTTCTTAGGTAATATTATAATCATAATAAATTATTATCGTATATTTCTCTTTCATTTGAAATCCAATTCGATGTATATTATTAATAATTGGTTGTACTAGTTAGTAGTTATATATAATATGCAGTGGCGATGCGAACTTTTTGAGTCTGAAGCAAATTGTATATTTTTAATATTTTTACCACCAACCATCCCCTTTATTACATCAAAATGATAATTTTCTATGTTGAAGCTATGAAGCAATTGCTTCAAATAGTATTATATCCCACCGCCACTGATAATAAGTTATACTTAGTGATGTCGCCTTCCCTCGATTAAATACATAGAGCAATATCGTAATTTTTATATTGTTTTGAGATGCATGAGCTTATTTTCTGTAGTGAGTGAGCGATGAGGAAACTGATTGACGCATTGACGAGTACCTACATAGGTACACTAATAATTCAACTATTATAATTTTTCGAAATGATTTAGAAGAAAAAGTATAATGTATATACCTATACAATAATATAATCATTTTGTACATATGAATAAGAACGTGTGTGTGTGTCACCACCACATCATCCTTCCACCTTACCAAAACCGATCATCATCCGATCGTACCGCGAGCATCGCCATGTGCCTAGAAACGCTCCTCCGTACGACTTGAGGACTAATGGCATTCCTAGAAGTTGCTTGGCGCACGCATGATATTATGTCTGCGAATGCAAACAAACACTGCTTGCGGTATAAGTATGCGAGTAAAGTTGCATCTATGCGTCATGTTTACGTCGTGTGTCCCACCATCATAACCTATTTATTCACCTACGAATATCCATGTGTAATTTATACTCATTCAACTTTCTTTATCTTTGCTAGTTCACTTCACTGCACTTAAATACGTCATAACAGATCGGAGTACTGGAGCCTGAAATCATAGTCCGTTCTGTGTGTCTACCATTGCAACTGGAATATGTTTAAAACATTCTGTGCAAGGTGCTTTGAGTTTTGACGTCATCTGTGGATCAACATCAACCCGCTATTGTTGTACCTATAGTGAGTATAAGTAGTGTGTGCTAGAGAACATGGCCAACTACACTGGTATATTCTCAATTTTTACAAAATATCGTTCATAAATCTTTGTTTTTATTGTTAGTCATTACCATATTTTTGTTAATTACAACGTAGGACTGTCTATGTTTTGTGGTGGACAATACCAACTTTCAGACAGCGCGACATAGATGTGTAGAGCCAAGTTGAGAATATCCCAGTGTGTTGAGCCGTGCTAGATAATCTCATACATAGGAACTCTACAGTGTAGTATATGGCTGTACTTTATATTATTGTGTTATGTAGAATGTAGATAGGTATTAACATACTTCCAAATAGATATATCTTTAAATAGGTATTTAATAAGTATGAATGTCTAAGTTTCTATTTTAAGTCTTTTTATTTTGTTTTATTCCTGTTTAGAAATAAACGACCAACCTGTGAAGCACCTAATACTGTTCTAATAATATTATATTTTGTTTGTTTTTTTAAACACTCCCCAGTAACAAACACTGAATTTTTAAAAATACAATAATACAATGCACAAATGTTATTTTCAATTAAATATGTAAACATACTTATTCATTTTTATCTACTTATTGCAGTATATATTATGTTTTTGCAGTTGATTGTCAGCAGCCTGGCCATACATTTATGTTCATTGTCTTCAATTGGAAAATCACAAGTGTATAGTATTTTAAACTATGAATTTTCTGCAATTTGTAAGTAATTTATTAATAATTTGACTATATTATATTATACGGGGTGTTTGTGGGACACTCATACTAATTACGATATCATATTAATGAGTTCAATCCTATTTAGCAATTTTAATGTTTATAAGGTCTCTAATTTTTGAATTGATAAGTTATTATAATAAGGCATTTTAATGATAAATATATTCACCTAGGTATATATTTTTACCCTTCAAAATTCCTGTTTTTATGTACTGTAGTAGCCGGTTGTTAGGAACATCGATAACTGATACAATCACTTTATTGAAATACAATTCTAGAGACGGACTAGCTGTACATTAAAAGTTAAAACATTGTAAACCAATCGGGTTAATGAAACAACACATCTGTTATGTAAAACAATTAGGGCTACGGTTGACTAAAAAATCCTGTTTTTCGATGATAACCTATTTACTGTAATTACAATGTACATTATCTTATGTTGATACGTTTGATATTAAATTCTTCTTGTCCAATTATAATTTTGTTTATTTCCTTAAAACATATAGTGAGCAGGGGGAAGCTGATTTTAGTGTTGCACAGACGTGGCTTGAAACTCATTGTACCAAAATGACAGCCCAAATAACATAGCTACACATATTATTCAAAATCACAATTTGTTTTCTCATTCCCATCATTCCGTTATTAAATTTGATGTAGGTATTATTTTTCATAAATATTTGTTTTTAAATAAAATTGTTTTTGGGAAACTTTGGCTACAGATTTAGCAATCTCATTTTTTTAACAATTAATTTAATTTATCAATAATCTTACATTTCGTTAAGTAAACATAAAAAAAAGATAAATAATCAATAGGTTCATCAATAAATTGTGGACTATTTTAGTCATTTAATTTGTAATTGATTCAGATCATTGAATTTAGGTACAGGAAAAAATATGAGCCACCACTTGAGATAGTACCTACTACCTAGTTTATGATGGGATAACTTTTATTTAGCCATATGAATATACCAAGATGATGGACAAATTCACAATTTTACCTGTATATTATGTATGCTATGCTTGAAAAAAAACTCTAGCTGAGTCCATCAATATTTTTTAAGACTTAAACATCTAATTATTGTAACTAAGACATTTGTGTATTGCAGTATATTTATTTTGATTCGTTTATTTTCTGTGGTCAGCACTCAACATAATCAAGGCAACCCCACTTAGTGACACTGTAAGCTTAAAATAATTTATAGATTATAACTGTTCATCGTGATTTCTATATTCAAAGTTCTCCCAGTAGATTTAAATCAGCCAAAATACATTTGAATGATTGCCATGTGCAAAACACCAATTTTTCCTTGCACCCAATTTGTAGTATACTTTAATATCGATATTTTTAGTAAAGATATTTGTGTTAATTAAGAGAATATTATAATATATTGTTGTAATAATATGGTAGTTAATTTATAGCCTATAAAGATATCATTTACAAACCAAAAGGATTTTTATGTCGTCACCTGAATTATTTTATCAAGTTATTTTTAAATTAAATGATTGTTCTATTTTATATTTTCACATTTTTATGTTTTTTTTCTATTTATTTATAAGAATTAAAGAATAAGATTGTTTTTAAGGCATGGTTCCCAGATCCGTAACTGCTTGAAACCCTGAATAATACAATATTTGTACTTTATAGCTATTTTTTTTAATTTAGCATATCTGTATTTTGGTTTGATATATTGTTATCAAGACGATTTTTGCCATCCTTATAGTGAATACTTTTGAGGTTAATTTGTATTTTGTTGAGCGTTGATATTTCTCTTAAAATTTACCAAATTAATGATAACTGTGTTGAATTATTTCAGGATGAATTTCATGACTCAATGAACGAATTGAGACCTGCAAAAAAACAAGCCCAGTTAGTAAGTAGTCATTGATTTATTTTTATTAATTTATTTGCATGCTTTCTTGTTAAATATTTCAATACCGCTGAGGTTAAATTCTTATGTGTTGATCACAATATAGAACAAATTGTGTAGTTGTAATCATAGTTTAAAAGTGAGGTCCAATCAGGAAGGCCATATACCGTATGCATATTAACTTTTCAAATTTCATTATACATTTTGTAACTAAATATGATTGAATATACACTAAATTATAATATAATATTATTTAATACTGTTGAGTATTGTCATAAAAAACCTCGGTGTGAAGAATCCTCTATTCTTTCTAAAACTATTATGGACGGAGTGACAATTTGCATCACATAATACTGAATTATTTGCCCTTTTTTTTGTTATTCTTCCCCTAAAATAGCTTAATAAATCTATCAATTGAATTATAAATGTCGAGGCTGTTAATAGTTGGTCATTGTTTCATGAATTTAGACCAAAAAGCAGAAGAAAAAAAGTATACTTCCTGAAGTTCAATTTTAATTTTGAAGAAAATATTTGAGTTTTTTCGTTTCTTCGCTTCTTCTGTGAATCTATTTGATAGTTTAGGCCTTAGGGGTTCACAGCAAAAAATTCTTAATAGTTTTCAAAAGGGTGTGAAAATAGAAATTTATAAGAGAAGTTGAGCTTTAATCCATTATAATTATTTTATGAGCTTCTAAAGTTAATATGTTGACAAAATTCATCAAAATCAGAAAAACTGGCAAATTATTTTGAGGTGAAAATACATAGAAAATTTCCATGTATATCTAAGATTTGAAAATTTACCCCAAGTCAAATTACTTTTTACAAGTATTTGAAGTTAGACATTGGATATTTACCCATAAATTTAATAGATACTCGTACATTGGTTTTCTTATTTTGTTGTTATTTAAAAACTATTAACTGTGGGTATTTGAAATTTGCATGCTCATTTTATATATTGGTTTTATATTTTTAGAGCCTTACTCGAACACGCGTAAGGACTCTAAAAATGTAACTTTGCAAAGCAATATCAAATAAGTCTTTATTAAGATAATGTTGATTTTTTTTAAAAGCTGTTGATAAATCTGTAGAGCTCATTTCATAAACTATTATTATCAAATTTATTAATACATTTATAATAATTATAATATTTACAGGATGTGTTTTGTTCAAAATATTCAAACAGTGAAGCACCAATATCAGTTATTGCAAAGATCTTGTCAGAAAATTACTCTTTAAAGTAAATAATTTACAGTTATTAATATTATTGTGTATAAGGATCTTGGTTTCTCTTTTTAAATCTAGTTTAGTTCAATAAATGAAACATTTAATGCATGAATATTTATATTAGGGCTTATTTTTATAAGTTGTGTACAAATATTCATTTTTAACTAAAATTTATTTTATATGGCTCTGCTATAAAAATTAGTGCTACTATAAAATTTAACTGCTTTCCGCATTTTGGTTTTTGAGCCAAGTAAAAATTCAAGATGGAATTAGTTAAATAATGATGTTAAAATTTTTAATTTGTATATTGTGTGTGTTCAGTCAAAAGTAGATGAGAATCTCCCCATCGTCTTTTTTTTTGAGCAGTCTTATTTATTATTAGCTCTGTTAAAGTTTATAAATTTTAATGTTATACTTTCTTAAAATGGTCTACTCTATTATATAGTTATATTTTCAGTGCACATTAATGATTAATTATACAGAATTTACACATGTTTTCCAATAATCATCTGAAAACTAGGTAAATTATATAAAATGTTGTTTCTTAGCAGGGATTAGGAAACGGTACATAACGTAATTTGTTGGTACATTTTTTATGATTACCACAAGATGCTGCAACTACCGCGAATCTCAATTCTGTTATAGTTTTGACTTTATAGTTCCGTCTGTTAATACACAATACACAAGATCTGCTATTTATATAAGTATGCTATGTATTAGTATACCACAGAATAAATTAAATTAAATCAAAAGAAATTTTCTGTGGGTTCTCAATTTTCTTATGATTGGTGAGAAAAAATCATCAGACATATTGGATTTTAAACAGAATTGATTCTCAAGAGTAGCTTTATTCCGTGATACCTATTCTTATTTGTCATTATTATTAGCCACCAATTATTGGAATTATTTTTCAACATGTTACCGCATGGATAATAGATATTCTTCTTTGATGTTTTGTATCCAGATAAATGTTGCCAGTTATTACTCCAAATTATAACGTCTGGTTATCCAATGATTTTTTTTTCTTCAAAGTTAGATATAAAAAAATTTTTGTCTCCCAGTACTTGGGGCATTGGGTTAGTAGGTGAGATAGCTGAATGGAGACCTATGGTTAGTTAGTACCTCGGGATAATGGAAAGTGTACCAGTTCATATTTTGTAAATTTCTCTACTAGTAAAAAAATTTTTAAATCTAAATAAATAATTTTCTTCTTCATGTTAACTTGAATGTTTTAATTGACTATCCAAATTTCTTTTGCAATTTTGCATATTTTATGGATTTTTGAGGCATAGAGTTCTTAATATTAGTAATCAGTAACGAGTTATCAGCTGCATTAAGCAGCTTCAATACGTTATCCCTGCTGCACCTGGATGCTTAGCACCAACACTGGTCCAATACATAATCTGCGTCTTGTCTGTATAATACTGCAATTAAAACGTACCACTGACATACACTTATATATTTACAAAGGGTACATTTATATAGTTATATCTTAGTTCAAGATTATAAGTTTTATTGCAAATTTAACTCCTAAAACCCTGCTATCGGTGTCTTTAAATTTTACCATCACAATTGGCCAAAATGTATGATTTACTTACAACTAGAGTGTATTTTTATATGATTCTATATTTTGGTCAGTAATTTTGAGTTATCTTAATAGTTTCAAGCTTCTAACAACATTTTTTGTGTACTTTGTCAAAACGTAATATGCATATTGAAGAAATTATTATAATAAGACAATTATAAACTGTTTTCAAAATTGAATATCTTTTTAAAATAATATTTAGTTGATTTGAAAATTAAGATAATACATTTTGTTGGCTATAGACCCATTGCTACTTGTTATAATAATAATTTAACGATTTTAACATGAAAAAAACTTGTTGATCAAAAAATTATTTGTATTGCATTAAGTAATTCACCCAGCTATTAAATGTATTTTAAATTATTAATATACCTAACAAATGATTATCATCAAACAAAAAAAATTTAATTGTATTTATTCATTTTTTTTTTTATCATAAATTGTTATTGTTTAAATTCTGTACATGTGATTTGTTCATATTTTCACGATTTTTGCTGTATGTTATATTGCATATTATGATAGTTTTTGGTGAAAAAAAAACCGTGCGATACTACCGTGTGGCACTGTAAAGCTAGAATTATTTTAAAAGTTCAATGTAGCAACAATCATTTTAGAATCCATTGGCTTATTATTGCTTTTAAATTTAATATTGTAACACAAATGTTACATGTCTATACTTACTTGAATTCTGTTATCAATTTTTTTTTAAGACTTAAAAATATTTCCGATGAATTCGACAAGGTAGGGTTTACCAAAGTGAAGCATTTGGCACAAGCAACCCTTGAAAAAGTAAGGTTGGTGCAGTTATCTGGAGATTCTCTAAAGCTGCTTAATGGAGCTATGGAGGTATGTATAAACTAATAACATTCAACATTTTTAAATTTATATTTTTATAATATGTTGTTTTGTTTTTTTAGATATATAGTAAACGCCTTGGTAAGTTATTATTACTATCAGTATTATCAATTGCTATGCTATATTTAGTATCTAAACTGTGACCAAACAATCGTTTATTTTGTAAAATGTTCCATTAGTATCAAGGTTAGGTAAAGTAAAGATAATTAGGTAAAGGTTAAGTATAATGTAAAATCTACCCTGAATGTCACTATTATATTTGTGTATCAAATAAACAACTTTACATTTATGACAAAAGTTTCAAGTTAATTTTCTGTTCAAACTCATTCAATACTCACTTGACTTAATATTACAATATTTTTCTAACATACTCCAGGGCTTTCTAGTATTATATCCATTAATTTGGTCCCGCCTTTTTTATATAAATATCTCTTTGATAAAATAAATAAACAAAATGTAAAACTTGCATGAATAATTATACATTTGTTGAATTTTGAAAATATTCTAAATCTTTTTGAGTTGATTACAGACATGCTTAATTCCTAATTTTTTTAAAAAATTTTTATTAGTTATTGTTAATAGATAATTATTCGCTGGGTTGAAAAAATAAAAATTTGATTCAAAGTTCCTCCTAAGTTGATATTAGGGTAATTACAAAGAGTCTAGCATAAATCCAAAATCATTTTCTTTGAATTTTTTCAAATTTTTTTTCAAATCTGTACAACATTGTATAATCACCTGTTATACAAATCTCCTAAATTGATTTTTGATCTCTTTTTGATTGTTTCTTGCAATTCAAAAACAAAAAACTTACTTGAAATTTTCATTAAATGTTTATTTAATCTTTCCTATACACTAAAAAATGTTCTAAGTATTTTGACGGAAATAGATATTAAAAAAATAATTATGATTTTAATTTAATTTAAATCAAAAATATCATCTATGGGGAAAAAATGTCTACGTATCATATTTTATATGTATATAAGTTTTTCAAGATTATTTGATTAATTTTATGCTATTGCCTATTTATTACGCACCTTTCTACATATTTTATCTTGTGTACTACGGTTGGTCGTATTCTACAATATTTGGCAACTTGGAGATATACCACTTAGTTGGCCAATGGATTTCATTCTACATACACAGAACTATCATGTTCTAATCTGAAATAGTGTATTTTGTTATAATTTATATTTTACGTTCACATTACACACATGGTTAATGTTCCAATAATTTGGAAATATTTTTGGTATTATTTCATTTTATTTTATCATTGTTGGTGAACAATAAAATAATACATTATTAAGTAGGCGCTATTCTCTAGATAGCTAAAAAACCAAATATTCTTAATGAATTGAGAGGAATTTGAACTGTGTCGTAGTATTTTTTAATTTTTTCAAATAGACCAATGTATAAAAAGTTGTTTAAGTTCGGAAAACGTAAAAATATCAGATTTTTAAAAGTATTTTAATTTTTCTTTCATTAATGATATTAAACAAATAAAAAGACTACAACACATCAGATATTATCTCCTATATTGTGTAAACTTCTGGTGTCTACTAGAACTACAGACTGAGAGGTTCTATCTTGCTCAAAACAGTTTTTGCTATGTTCTACTTTTGTATGACAGAAAACACATGTGGGTGTAGCGTCCTCTTAATAATATATTATTTTATTGTAGAACTATTAATGTACCTTTTAAACCTTTGTGAACTATGTTTCATTAAATGAGATAAAATTCATTCTCAATTTTCTGGTTCTGTTGTTACTCTAAATTCATTGTTTTATATTAATTTATAGTTTAGCTGTAAAATTAAACATTTAAATTCATTAACCTCAATTATTATTTGTCCACCGATTAAACATATGCTTAACCACACTTAGATTATAGGGATACTAAAATTATGTATTGTGATTACACCAAATTATTTGCTGAAATAATACAGCAGAATCCAGATAATTGGGACACGGCTTAAAAAGGAAAACCGTTTAATGCGGACAAATTGGCATAGTCCTGAACAAACTTTGTTCCTAATGACTTTTTGGTTAATGGGGACAAACGGGTTTAAGCCTAATGTGTCCCAATTAAGCAGATTCAATGGTATTAATGTTTTTTCTAAACTATACATGTAATATATAAATATATTTTTTTAGATGATTTCTTACAATCTGCATACTTAGAATTTCAAAATGGAAATTTATACAATACTCAACGAATATGTAAAGAATTATTTTTACATAAACCAACAGACATGGATGTTATTATGCTTCAATCCAGTTCATTTTACAAAGGCGGAAATTATCAAGAATGTATTGATTGTCTACTAATAGGAAAAAATATTAATCCTAATTGTACCAAACTCTTAAATAACCTTGCAATATCTTATTTTAAAAATTCCGAAATTGAATTATCAAAAAAATATCTTTCTGAAGTTTGTCGATTACAACCTTCGGTTGGTAATTTGTCCATATATGCCGAATTGTTACGCCATTCAAAAGACTTCACCACAGCTGAACTTACTTATATACGGGTTTTAAAGCTAGACCCTGAACTATACAAAGTACGTAATAACTATGGAGAGTTGCTTGTAGACTTAAACAAAATACAAGAGGCTAAAATGCAATTTAAGATTGCCCTTAACAGTGGGACAGAATGTTCAAGAACTTTAAGGAATTTAGGATTTCTTTATAATTTAATCGGTAAATTTGAAAAAGCTATTTCTTATTTTGATAGAGCTTTGAAAGTTAATCCTCATCCAAAGGATACTCGTGATGGTTTAATAGTGGCTTATTTAAAAATTAAAGAGTATCAAAAAGCAATTACTGAATTATTAAAAATATTAAAAACAGATCCAGAAAATGAAAAAGTTTTAACTTATTTAGCACTTGCATACAATATTCTAGGTAATCACCTAATGTCTGCTGCAGTATATAAAAAGTGCTTGAAACTTAAACCTGACGACTTTCGTTTTAATTATAATATTTCTTTGGTATATTTTACTTTTCTTAAAAATTATGAAGAAGCTATAATATATTTAAAAAAATGTATCGAGTTAAATCCGAATAAAAACCTTTACTCTATGCTTATGACTGCATACAAGGAAATTGGTGAACACATAAATGTGTCTGATATTGCCCTCATATTGGGTGATTTGTATCTGGAATCTGATGAGCTGGACCAGGCAAGAATACATTTCATTCGCGCAGTAAGTTACAACCCTGAGAATGCAATTTGTCATTGGAAGGTGGGACTGATCATGTTTACTCAGGATGATTTAGACACGGCTTTTTCCAGGTAATGATTAATTAATACGTCAGTCATTAAATGTTTGTCTAGTAATATTCTGTTTACACTGTTATTGTGTAATATAATGTGCCTTGTTAATCTATTTTAAAACGATTTAATTTTGAGTATAAGTTCTGTCTTTTAGTTTTTCCTAATTTATAGATACAACTTATCTGTTAACTTTTATTCTCGACAAGCAGTTCTAAATTGAAAAAAAAAATCCCTTATTTGAAATTAAGTAGTGAAAACATATTACGTACAATTTGTAAATCCTATGGCAGTTAAACATATTTACTTTATTTTTATTGATACACTAAATTTTAGGCTAGAAAATTGTAGATTTTATGTTAATTAGCTATGTTGTTGATTTTTATTATAATGACATATTATGTTATAACTAAATAGTGGATTTTAGGTTCTTTAAAGTTTAGTTATTGTGTTAGTGTAAGTATAGTTATTATTTAGTTTAGTTATTGTAATATGCTCTAAAAAAATCCTCTAAATATTCTATACTAATAATTCCCTTTTTTAGTTAAAATGAGAAACAAATCTATAATAGTATTTAGTTACTTAAAACTCAATACGTTTAAAATATTTACTTTTATTCATGTTTTAAAAACATTTTTTTCTTGGGGCTAAAAAGTAATTTATAAGAAATTAATATAGATATATTTTTTTTATGAACAAATATACACGATTCTTAAATATGCAAAACATAGGTTCAATTATTCTCTAATCTCCAAAATATGTTCTAACATGAAAATTAATTTTTCTTTGTATTCTTTAATGGATAAGTCATCAACATTTTTCACCACCTCTAAACTCTATAAGTCATTAACTACATAACACAATAGATTTTGGATATTTATTACTTATCATTAGGGCTCGGATTTTAAAGGAAATGCTTCTTTTTATATATTTAAGATAGAAATCTAATTTTATACATAAATTCGTTTCACGTCAATCTGATTCCAAATAAACAAATTTTTTTTGGCTTTTTTTTGTGTAAATGCTTTTTTTGCTTTTTTATTGCTTTTTCAGTTATTCTAACTGTGGAAACTCATGGAGATATTGCAACTGCTATTTCTGGTAAGCTAAATCGTGTTCTTTTGAAAAACAAAGGCTGGAAACAATTACTGGACATTAACACTTTACTGTGTGGCGTTTCATCAGACAAAATTAATTATCATGGGTTTGATTTAAACAAAACTTCTTGCATGAAGTATGCACCGATCACTTCAGTGGATGTAGAGCGATCATTTTCTATGTATAAAAACATCATGTCAGACAATAGAGTCAGTTTCACTTCTGAAAATCTTGCCAAATACATGGTAGTAAATTCTTTTTTTAATTTAAATTAATTTTTCAATTTTTACTACTCAGTTTTTTAAAATTATAACTAATTCATGTTAATTTTTAGTCATGCTTTTTTTTTGCTTTTTTAAAAAATAAATATGCTTCATTTTTGCTTTTTTAAAACAATTTTGTGCTTTTTTTGTTATTTATTATGCTTTAAAATCCGAGCCCTACTTATCATAATTCATCTAAGCATGTTAATTATATTATTTGAATCAATTTATATTTTAAAATGTAACATTTTTGGTTATTACGAATAGTAATAAAGAAACTAAGTCAATTTAATTCAGAATGTGATATTAATAATTATTAATAAATGGTTTATTATTTTGCATGTTTATTAGTATATGTAAATACATTACATGCATTTAATATTGACTTTTTTTAAATGTTGATTTTTAGTATATTACTACTGTTTTATTTATTTTTTAGACTTCAGTTTAAGATATTGCATTATTGTTTTTAATTTCTGTTTCCCCTGGTATAAACATAGTACTTGGTACTTGATTTAATTAATAAAATATTATCCTCATAAAATGTATCTATAGCATAACTAGTAATTATCATAATTTATTTTTCAACAGTTATGAAAAAGCTATTGAATTGAATCCAGATCTGAGAAACTATAAATGTGAAGGCAAGAAATATTATGATAAGTATAAAAAATATATGGAATCACCATTAGACAAATAGAACTGAACAAGTAAATTTATTGGATGTAATGTAAAATAATATGAAGATCAGATGTTTAAAATGTTAAGCTGTGTGTAAAATGAAACATTTTTTTTTTTGTAAAATGTGTTTATTTTAATTTTGAAACATTAATTCTTTCGATAATAATGTAAAACATTATATTTTAATTAAATTATTTGAAAACCAACATTTTGTGTGTTTTATAAATCGTTTAAAAAAGCTACAGTGTTGCCATGTAGTAAAAAGTATAAGCTATTTTTGTATGTATGTACCCTCAATGGCATAGGCAGAAATCCATTAAAACTTCAGAGGGGCTATACATTTTAACATTATTGTCAGCATGAACCTAGGGACTTCAATCCCCTGATTTCTGCCCATGTTCTTGCCTTATGCTTGTTATTCTCCTGACGAAACATAGTCTTATCTATATTCTTTGGCGGGAACGGACTATTATTATGTGTTAGCTCCTATTTAGGTCATCATGAAGGAAATCCTTTTTATATCTCTCACATTAATCAAAAAATATTATTGTTATTATCACGTAATATTTTTACATGATAATATTAAATATATTATTTAAAATTGAATTTGATTGATGAAAATTATATTGTAAGTCTAATATATTTTTTATAATATTTTAAAATTTTTATATTTTGTTAATGTAAATTATACTGATATCTTACGTCCCGAAAAAAATAGTTGAAATTTTAAATCAAAAAAAAATTACGATTTAATTTTTTGTGATTTAAAATACTTATGGACCTAATGTTCTATTTTAATAATTTACAGAGACGAAACATCTGCAATTCATATTAGCATATATTACTAAGCATTTATATTTAATATATATTATATTGTTATTATGGTTATGGTAGGTTGTTTATTTTGTTATAGTAATAATTTGGTATTGAATGTACATAACATTTCAATTTTTATTCATTCTAATCTTTTGAAACTAAGGTATTTATTACTGCTTGAGGTTAGAAAATAGTACTTCATAATTAATCATTATAAATAGTATTAACTATTTCTTGGAGAGATTGTACAAAGAGTATGACGTAAAATATTGATATATGTATATAATATATCATACATAAATGGCAGTTGCTGTGATGACGGAGTCCATAGTTTCTTTCTTGATATACAATTTGTCGATTCTTCTTAATTTTATTATGTATAGCACTACAATTTCTGAATATATATTAAAGTATAAAGCAAAGCATTGTTGTGAAAAACAACTTTTATTTACTGTTATAAATAAACTTATTGAATATAATCTGTATTTATTTAATTTGAATACAATAGTTAGTTAAAATTAAACAAAAAACTTCTTACTGAATGTTCACAGAAACAAAAATTGATAGAGTAGGCACATAATACATATTTTATCATAAATTATACATAAGCATGTATGTATTTCAACTATTAAAATATCCTATCTGCACGATTAAATAAAATAAAATGTTTTACAAATTTAAGGTAGTTAAAAAAAATATTTATTCACCACATATAAACAATTGAGTATAGCATAATATAATACATAACACAAATCACTTTTGTTAGTATTTTTACTAGTTACCAATTTTCATTCTTGAACGCTGACATCTAAAATGTCTGCAACCAAATCGTATTAAAAATGGCACCTGACGTAAAGTTTCTAATACAAAATCAAGATAAAAAATAAATGATAATAATAATAAATAAAATATTTGTATTCATAATAAATGAATATTTATGAAAATAACATTAACGATTCATTTTCAGGAGAGCTGGAACCACATTATTTAATATATCAGGTGTTGATGCTAATTATGGCAAAGCGCATGTTCCATTAATTCTGGCAATACATTTTTCTCCAATCCAAATTATGTTTAAGCCGTTAAATAACACATTCAAAGATCTACAAGACTAGGACAATAAATATAATTTAAAAATAAATATAGTAGAAATAAATATAATTTAATTAAGATATAATATAATAAAATATATGTGGGGTACCTATTTATATAAGATTAGTGGCATTTTCTTTGTTGAGATCTATCTATTTTCTATACATTAGTGTCAGGTCATCAAAGGATCTCATAATAGATCTTGGGTTCCCTCATTATAGAAAGCAAAGAAATATTTATTTTATTTGTATGATACATATTAAATTAAATTTAAAATTGTGCAGTTTATATTTTGCATATTATTTATTTCTTAGACCTACAGACCATTGTTTATTGTAATTAATTGTTTGCAATATAAATATTTTATAAGTATACCTTTGTGGCTATGTAATTAATAGACATTTAATAATTAAAATTGAAAGATTAACATTAACATTAACTGTACATGTATCCAGAAAAAAATATCAAGTTAGTACTTAAATTGTTATAGATATTCAAATCTATCTTATATTCAAAAGTATCTAGTACCTGATGGCTGATAATAAAATAATTTTCAAGGCAAATATAACAGGATTTAGTTAAATAGGTCTGACTTAAATACTTAATATTTGAATTGATTAATTACAGTATGTATATTTGTAATAACTTATAAGTTATTAAACTATCATAATTATCAACTAATAACAAAATTAATAACAATAATAAAACATTGGTAGTCGATATGTGCTATAGTAGGTATAAAGAAACCCGCATCATTAATCAAGAAACTGTAATAGATGTACTAATTTTGAATTCAATGATATAAATAATTGGGTATGAAAAATATTTAAAAAAAATATATGTATAGTATACAGAGTGTAGCAACTAACAAAAAGACCTAACAATAAAAAATAAAAAAGCGGGTAAGTGGATGTCGCTCTGCTGAACATTAGGTGTCTAGGAGGTCGCTATAATGGATGCTATTAAATTTGAACTCAATGATATCATAATATCATTGTATACGAAAAACGATTCTGAGCAGACGGTATGTCAGTTAAGGATATTTTTAATTTTATATTGTTATTACTTATTATTAATATGGTAGCCGGGGTAAGTTGAATTAATATTATTCTTAAATTATCAGTGATAAAAAATATTAAGTATACCTTTGTAAAATTGGGCTGTTTTGGAACCAAATTACAATAGAATGACAAAAATAGTTACTCTTGGTATTAATATGCAATTTTGTCCAAATTTGAACTTAAAATGTCTGTAAAAAATAACTGTATTTATATATTTTCTAGATTTTTAGGTTGACGAAAAAACTGCATGACAACCCTGGATAATGTATTAAATTTTTAATCCTTAGTTATAAAAATTAAAAATTTTATAAATTTTTGACTACAAAATTATTTTCAATTTTCAATTTGATAAATATTGTCAACATTTGAACTTTAACAACTTATAAAAATCGTGCCTATGTATGTTTAATGTTTTTCAACTGCTATTGTAACAATATATCAAGAGTTTTGTATTAAATATTCATGTTTTTTGACCCAATTAATAAAATTGTATTAACATTTATAGAAAAAAAATGAAAATAGAAAATGTCTTTCAACAGCTTAAAAAAGGCAAAATATTTTGAAATATTTATTAAAAATATGAATTGATAAAATAAACATATGGTGTCAATTTCAAGTGTTTACAGTAATTTCTCTTAGAATGACAACAAAATAAGAAAATCGCTAAAAGGGAAATCAAGTGAATACCCAATATTGTAGAAATGTCAACTTTAAACGATCATAACAATTTAATTTGATATTATGGTAGAAATTTTTTTATTTTTGATAAAAGTAGACTCACTTAAAAAGAATCTTTTATTGAATTTATAAATCTTAGATATAAAAAGAAAACTTTTTATGAATTTCTAACTAAATATAATTTGCTAATTTTCGTTATTTTTATGAATTTTGTCAAAGTAATAACTTTAAACGCTCATAAAAAATTATTGTGAACTTACACACAATTTGATTTTTAATTTCCACTAACAAAAACTTGAGAAGAAGTTTGTATTACATTTAAAAGTGGTTTGACCACGCGAAAAATTGTTTATCGATATAAGTTTAAAAAAAAAGAAGATAAATAATAATCGAAAATCTAATATGCCTATAAATAGTTCAATAAAAATCAAAATATTTTGAAAACCTTATGGTGAATAGAAAATGCTTACTAAATGCTTATTCAGTGAAAGTTTCCTGTATCTACAGCCATTTTTGTTAGAGTTACACTAAAAACCAAAATCGAATTTTTCGATTAATTTTTCCTTAATTTTTTGTTTGTTTTCCTGTTGCTTTTGAAAACTATTGGGAATTTTAAATTTTGACTTCCCAAATGCACCAACTAGATTCACTTTTCTACCAGAAAATGTTGAAGAAAGTTGAAGCACTATTAGTGTCTAAAAACGGGATGACCGACATCAACAAAAAAAATAAATAACAATAATAATTTAAAAACACACATCATCGCTTCTCTCAGAAGAGTCAGAATCTAAAATATTAAAATATTATATATTATAGGCGACAAATAATATGATAACAATACTACCAACTTTTAAATGACTTCATAACGAACTATAAAAATATATACATTATAGATTTATAGAATGAAACTTTCACACAACAAATTTCTCTTTGATGACATTTTTTGTTAAAAGAAATTTTTTTGAGAACCAGATTTAAATTATAATTCAACTTTACAAATAAATGACTTGCGGTTCCTTATTTGTACTATATCAAATCGTATTATTATGAGTATGCATAGGCAAAAATATATTGTTTTTTTTTTGACCTATACAAGTAATATGGAGTTATAAACTACAATTTATTAAACTAACATATTATCTATTAACTAATAAAAAAATTAATAACAATAATAAAAACATGATAGTCGCTATGCCGCATAGTGGGTATTAAGTAAACCTCGTCATTAAGTAGGAAACTGCGATAGATGTACTCAATTTGAATTCGATGACCTAAATTATTAGGTATGAAAAATAATTCTAAAAAATGCATATAGTGTACAGGGTGTAACATCAAACAGAAAGAATTAACAAATAGAAATAAAAATGAAT